GATGGTCCCGCTGCCACTGGATCCACACGACTATGCACCTACCAGCCTGTGATCTTCCTGCATTCTGCATCATTGGTTCTGACTGCGTGAGTCTGCGAAGGACTAATGGACTAGTATCAGACTTATGGACTAAAGTTGAACTGAGCTGGGATGTTTTCTTGATATATAATTACTTCTTGATATAAAGCTCTTTCTTACACATAAGGAGTGTTGCTGGATTTGTTTCTCTGGTCAACCTGGCTTAACACACACACACACACATGGAAGATTTTTAATGCTTTTTCAACCTCTGACCTATGGATCAGTTAGGAATGCACGCAGAGGAAAAAAAAAAGAGAAACAGAGGACTATTTAAGATGCTCTGCTGTTAAAAACACCATAACATCTGCCTGGGAAGAAGTTCGGCTAGAGTGTTCATTAAAGGCAAGGCTGGTGAGTGTTTTCTCATGTACTTTGGCCATGGTGTCAGGAGAGACCAGTCCCGGGGGGAGACGTCATGCTTGGTAAAGTGGAGGGGCAGCGACAAACAAGAAGGCCCTCCCTGAGCTGGAGGGCAGCAGTGGCTGTAAGAACAATGCAGAAGGTGCAGGCCTCGGAGGAGTTTGGTTCTGATGTTTGCAGCGCTGCTATGAGGTGGAACGGACTCAGCGGCACCTGACAGCAACCACATGACACGCAGAAACCTCTGTCCACAGATTCTCCAGCATCCTACAGTGGTCTCTTCAGGTATAAAAGTAGCTCTTAAGAAGTACTCGTCTGAGAAGGGGGCGGGTGGGGGGAAGCCACAGTTTTTTCTTAAGACCTAGTTCTCATATGAAAACTGCATCTCTTCCTTTGATTATGATAAGAATTATTTTTGACGCCAATAATCATCAAAAATACTGTGAGGTAGTTTTCTCTCAGGTTACTTATACACGACCTAAAGAAATGTGCTCGACTACTGTGGTATGAAAAATTAATGTAATCTCACGCTCCTTAGAAGTGCATTGAACTGATTATACTTCGCTCAACTGGCAACTCCCCCGTACTAGAAACTCCCCAAAGCAGCGTGGCATAGTAGTTAACTGCCTTGTCTTCACTATCAGATGGGTCTGGGTTCAAACCCTGATTTTACTATATTTCAGCTGTGGGAGCCTGAATGTCGCCTGTTTCAACGTCAGA